CACTTATTTAAAATCGCACATCTGATGTTGAACTGCAAGTCCTCCAAACTCAGGGTCATTTAATAACCTAACCAACAGTGTCCCCGGGTGGTGCAAACCAGGACTGTTGTTTCAGTTGATTTTAACTGGGATTTTAATTACGTATCAACCGCTGAGAGTAAAGTAATAATCCTGCTGTTAAAATATGTATTAAACAAAACAGCATTGCGAGCAATAATAAAAGCAACAGAGATCATAGTTTTTGTGACTGCAGAATTACTCGTAGGAACAAACTGTGGTTTTTATAATAAAAGTTCTAGTCGCCGAATATTAAGTAACTATTTTTACTGCGCATGTGTACACGAGTTTGTAACCCGGAAGTACACCTGACCGGTCCGTTCAAAACACACACTAGCACGCTGATAGCTAAAGAGTGGTCGAATGAGTTAAACATGTCCGAAGGAGACGATTTATTTGACAGCATTTTTCTTGCTGATGAACGGTAAGGGTTTTATCTAATAAATGTCTTGTTCTTCTAGTGATTTAGTGTGGGTAAGTGAAAGCTTACGACGAATCACCGTGGGTTTTCTGCGTGTTCCAAGGGCGTCTTCAAACAGACGACCACGAAACGTTGCACTTTGAAACTTTCCTCTGTCTTGTTTAAAAGATGTAAAGATTGTGTAAGTTCCGTTTGCAAATTATGTATTTCTTAAACTTAGTAAAACCCCGGAAGTTGACCGGAACTTGATACCTGAGTTTGTAAACAGCTGAGTATGAATGGTAGTACTGAGGGGGCAATAATGCTAACTTTCGCCCAAGTTGTATATATATAAATATTTTTGTTTTATCCTTGTGACAACTGATATAATAACACGAAAACAATGATGTTTTCTTCTTTTTAGTTACAGAGGAGAAGGCTACCGTGAGGGATTTGAGAGAGGACGGTCCCGAGGACTACAGGAGGGTCGCAGACATGGAGCCTCTCATGGGGCGAAGCTGTCCTGTGAGGTGAGGGGCGTTTCTTTAGTACACAGAGAAAATACAGCAGTATGTGTGCTTATAGCTTCTGTTGTTCACTGCTCCTCATTCCATTACCCACAGATTTCCTTCTATCACGGCTTTGCAGTTACATGGAAATGTCTCCTTCAAAATAGCACAGATGTCAAATCCAGGTATGTTTATTTATCCGTCTTTCCCTTATCATAAGTAAATCTATGAAAAATTACGTTACACACTGACCATAGAGCTTCTACACCTGTCACTCAACCACACCAACTATCACTGAAAAATGTCTTTTAACCAAAGTTGTACAAAATGTGTGTACTTCCAGGAAGCGTCTAAAAGCTGTAGAAAGTCTCCTGGCTTTATTCCAGTCCTGTTCCTATGACGACCCAGAGTCTGTGTCGCTGCAAGACAATGTGGAGAAGCTTCGAGCCAAGTTCAGACAGGTGCTGGTTTTTATTCAAACTGATCACAGTGACTGAGTATTTAGACTGAGCACAAACTGTTGGCTGGAACCTAATGTACTTGTAATTTTATTTATTATATTTATAATGTAGGCCACTTGAATTTAGTGGCGCTTTGGCCCAGAGGCAATGTCTCTGTCATTGGTGTGGAACCCCAGGGGTCACCTCCTGGGCAAGTTCAAATCCCGGTTAGGGCGGTTAATACCTTCCAGTGGACTCACCACCCGCAGGACGGTTTAGGTATGGTGCAATGTGATTTGGGTGGCGACTGCTGCCCCTGCAACCCGGTAACGGATAAGCGGATGAAAATGGATGGATGGGGCTACTTGAATTTATTTACAAAAATACCAACAAAGTAGACTTGAGTTTATTTACAAAAATACCAACAAAGTAGAACAACAATATAAGTGAGAGAGTGTCTGAATATATATTTTTGAAACAAACTTAAAAGGCAAAGGAAGATCTTGACCGTAAACAAAACTGTTCCGATTTATAAAATCTTATGCACCAGTGTAATAGATTCTTAAAATTTGTGCTGGAAAATGTTTAAAACTGCAACTTTTTCAGATAAACAAGAACTCAAAAATATATTTAATTTTAGATAACAAAGTCTGAATTTAACATTTTTATTTTTTATTTCAAATCTATTTTCTTTTAACATGTTGGGTCAATACCTGTTTTCTCATGTCACTAAATGTAATGTCTATGTTGTTCTTCAGGTCTGCTCCATGTTAAATGTCCCGGCTGACTTCAAGGATTACATCAAAACCTCGCAGGGGACCTCCTTTTGAATCATCTGGAGACCTCTGCACAAAAGACAAAGAAGTGAGAGACGCTGTGAGTGGACTCATTTAATCATCTATCAACATCTCTCGACAACCCTCCCCTTCCCCTGCCCCCCAGTAATGCTGAGGTCACATGTCAAACACGACGTCTGCGAGCCACCGTGTCAGTTTATGTTGCACAGCAGTAAATAATGTTTGATATCCAGTCACAGCCCAGGTGTGAGACATGTTGCTGTACTTTGTCTTGTCAATATAATTTTAATATAGTGTAAAAAGTATTTATATACTATATAGTAATGTCATTTTAAAGTTACCTCAGTTTTGTTGTCTATTTTTACTTTCATGTCAAAACTGTAAAGCCCAGTCAGGCAAAATATGTTTTTCTAGAATTTGATTTGATTATACAAATAAACTTGACTCGACTGGACCTGCATATCGTTGCTTACTTCTTTCTCAAGATTATTTTCCACCTTACATATATGACACTGTATGGCATAATGTATAACAATTTCCCTCAGGGGTTCAATAAATTAATTTCTGACTCCGATGACTTAATATACAGTCCACCACGTGGTGTTCTCAGCAGCTCTTAAGGCTTTTTATGTTCCTGAAAAAACTACTTACATTCACGTGGTAGAACATTTTCAAACGCAACAAAACAATAGACCAGTCGCATTGCTTTAGATCTGGGCCAAAATAATTATATGATTTATTCCGACGCTGCATGTAACTGTTTTACTCAGAGAGATGTAGATCGATAAAATAGCCACCAGAGGGCGATACTGTCTGATGAATCAATGATCGAAGCCTAACTAAAAGGCAACTTTCTTTTGAAAACGTAAACCACACAAAGATTAATGTTTTATTTATTTTTTATTATGACACGTGACCTACGGCTTCACTGGTTTTTAATTTTTTATAATGTGGGAAATTTGATGATTTCCTCTCTTATCCTTCTTAAAATGTAGATTAAAAGCGGAGTATGATCATACTTTTGTGAAACATAATAATGTTATATATATAATGTTACAGGATTATATATATATATATATATATATATATATATATATATATATATATATATATATTTAAATCACAAAACCGTGCATTCAATGAATAATTAGCACCCCCTACTGGCCAGAGAAGCAGGGCTACGTGCTCATTGCTGCTGATACTTTTAAGTATCACACTAAAGATGGTCAGCCATCAAGACTTTTTACTTCTTTAATATTATTTAACAATGTTTAATTTTTACCACAAAATTGAAGTTTTTCTTCATCACTACCAGACTTTTATAACAACTCAAAGAACAACTACACTACACTTGATACAAGTAGTTTTTTTCTTTTGCAACAACAAACACAAGAAAATGTACAGAAACTTAACAGTGACAACAGCAGGAGAGCCACTGTCCCATGTCCAGCTTCACTGACAATGACCCAACAGGAGGGTGTGTGTGTGTGCTTGTGTGTGTGTGCGTGCGTGCATGTGTGCGTGCGTGTGTGTGTGTGTACAGTAGCAGCTGGTTTATGCAGTGTCAGGCAGCAGGTGAACACTGTCTTCCAGTCGGTAACTTCTAAAGGCAAACAGGAGAAAGACGGAGAGGGGAGGCAGAAGGGGAGGGACTGGCAGAGAGGCTGCATTCAGACCAGGGGTTTGGTCCAGTTGGACACAAAAAGAACTATTAGAAACATTAAGAATTAAATGGAGCATTGTAGAAAAGAGGAGAGCTTTCAGACGAGCAGAGAAAAGGTAAGGAATTAAAGGGAGGCGTGATAATTTTCAGAGGAAAGGAAGGAGGTGCCGGAGGGGGAGGAGAGGGAAAG